ATAATCATAGTGAAACTTCCATATCAATTATATAATTGATTATAATTATGTAATTGAACAGCCTTCTCTTAATGTTACAAATTGTTTCCTGAGGATAGTTAGAGACCATTTTTATTAAACTTAAAATATATTCAAGTCCCTATCTATCAAGTCTACTTGAAAGGACTCCTTGGAGTAGTTTCTTTTTCCATTGATTGAGAAATGTGATTTTATTTCAACAGCTACGGTTTCTTAAGAAAAAGTAATGGATTTAATCATATTTATCACAGGAATAAGTTTGAAAGAGGTAAAAATTTACCAAACTCCTGCAGACAGATAACTGAATTCAATAAAAGGAAAATGTTGGGAACTGATAACAATAAAAGTTAATTCTCTTAGCAAATGATAAACCTTTCTTCCAGTTATTATTTGGTGAGGAAGAAATGAGTAAATTTTAGGGTTTTTATGTGTATGATGTTTCCAATTTTAAATTATTTATTTATTAGTTGTCCTCTTTTTCTTGTCAACATTTCAGACTTTTTATACGTCAACCTATCTTCATGGACGATTTTCTTTACGTTTAGAATTTTCTTGTTATTGTCACACTTTGATGACAAATGAGTTTAGCGACTGTAACTAAACAAAACTACATAAAAAATATATTTTTAATAAGTTTTAATGATGAAATAATGAATGTTTTATGGATATGAGATGTCAAAGAGACTAAAATGTTGAAAAATTTAAATGTAAAGAATCATGTGAATGGTGAGAGGTTAAGAACCCACTAAGTGGGACAAGGGACCAAAAATAATAAATATTTCATTTAAAATTGTAAGAAGTATCATTCATATAAAAATCCAAATAATAAACGATGTAATATACTAACTGTTTATAATATATATATATATATATATATATATATATATATATATATATCTTGTATATATTTTTTTAAATATTACTTTAGGCTTCAGTAGTAAATAAATTGTTTGTACATAAGTCAACAATATATATAAAGCTCTATATATTTACATTTTTTTTTTTAATATACAGGTATTCATATCATTTATTTACTAATATAAATAAATTTATCTGAATTTGAAGCGTTGCATTCCTGAACCAAGCAAATTCCAGATTTTTTTTTGTTTTATTAATAATTTTGGTACTAGACTATCACAAAGTAAAATACTTTCTTTAAAAAAAAGTTAAATTGTATGTGATTTAAATGTTTCAAGATGAAATATTTTCACCTCATGCTAACGAAAAAGAATATAAATAAGTAATTGAAGGAATAGTTGTTGGGGGGGGGGAGGAGAGGAAGGAGAAACAGAATGGAGGGAAGAAGTGCATTCAACAATCACCCACTATTATGGTGTAATATTTATCAATACCTTTCGCTTCGACTGACATTGTTGGTCTTCCTCAAAACTCGAACTATGCCAGGAAACTCAATGATAAAAATAAATAAATTAAATATGGAGTTAGCTGATTTTGGAATTTTGCACCTGTTATTATTTCCTGCTAAAACTTTGTTTTATAATATGTTAATTGAATGTTGGTGTTTTTTTTGTATTTTGGTTTGTGATCCTTCAGTCATTCTATTGCAGATGCTATAATCATTCATCATATTTGTTGGGTATTCTAATAGAATACTGTTTATTACTTTTTATTGCTGGGCATCAGACTTTGGGTATAACTTGTTCTACTCGATATGAAATATTTATTTTAGTTTGGTATAAAGTTGAAGATATAAAATTCTTACATCTCTTATGTTTAATTTCTCAGATCAATTGGAGTACTATTGTCACATTAATAGCAGCTCTATACTTTTCTACAGTGAAATGCACTATGAAATATGTGTATTTAATTTATTTATAATACTTAAAAAAAATTAATTTTTTCGAAAAACCACTGATATAATTCTTTTTTTATAGCTTGCAAATGCTGAATAAATTACCTCCAACAATTTTATTTTGTATTTTTTAAAGTATAGGCCTATTTGTAAGCAAGCATGAATGATTAGAAGTTCAGTATTACTGATTAAAAATAACATATGCAATTAATTTTTATTATTTTATGTGTAATCTTCTCTTTATGATATATTTTATCTAATATTTAAGACTTTAATATCTGCTGCATGCTGTTTTATTTATTGATTTGTTTATGACTTTAATTTAATTATTATTTCATGATAAATGTTGATTAGTTATTGATTTGTGGATAATATAATTATGTTGAGTATGTTTATAACCAAATTAATATTTTGCACTCATGATTTATTTTCTTATTAGTTTTTCTATTTTAATATTTGTGCCTGCTTTCCAAGATATGATGATTGGATCGAGTAAGTTTTCCACTGATTTATGGATTAGCATGTGTATTGATCATTATAACTCACATAAGTAGATAGTTATGCTTTGTGTTATTTTATTTTAAAAATAATATTGATTTCTTTTGTTTATCAATTAATGTAATGTATTCTTGATATTAGTAATGAACTTTTAAAAATTATTTATGAGTTATTTTGATAAGTAGCTTGACATTTTAATAATAATATTAAAAAGTTTTTACTTTAAATTATTTCAAGAACTTGACTACAATACAGAGGATTCACCAAAAAAAACCTTTGAGGACTTTTGTGAGAATTTGTTTTATCTTACAAGCTTTCTATGGATCCTATCAACTGAACTGAGTAGATCAAAGTTTTATTAAGAAAAAAAATGTTTACATTTTTTTAAAAAGAAATTTCTTTACAAATGTCATTTAAAAACAAAAGTATAATAATAGTAAATTAAGAAATTCTTACATTTCATTAAGTCACAAATATTTAAAAAATGATTGGTTATAGTAAATTAAATTACTGCATACGTATTGCTAATATAAATGATTTTATGTTTGCGGTTTACGTTGTTAAACATTATTCATTCTATAATGATTATAATTGTGGTATAAATTATCATCCAAAAGCCAGAAATAATTGTTTCATTTTTAATTTGAAAAAGTAAGATTTAGATTTCTTAAGCTGTTTCTACTCTTGAGAATTAGCTCTGATAACCATAGGGCGAACTGAATAGATCCATATATCTCAATCAGATAGTTGTTAGTAAATCAAAGAGTGTTTGTTCAGTGTGTACCGATATCTAAGTATCATAATATTATAATTCTCTTACCCTTCTTGGGTACTTCAAAATGTAATTATCAGAGGAAAATTAAGAGTTCAAAAATATCAATCAAAGAGTACTATAAAGAGTACAGAAATTAGAAAGACTGCCTCTGAAGAGAGGTCTCTTTTGCCAGCTGGTAGTGGATGAAGGGGCTGAGAAATCGGAACGTTTCTATGGCGTTTCTATCCATTTTTTTTTTTTAAATTAGTGCCCTAGCCCCTTTTTTTTGGAAAAAAATGGCTCCTTTATAAGACCTTATGAATTCTACACAGATGTATTTAAAATTCAATGCACATCTGAAAATTATTTTTTAAAAACACATTATAGGGTATTCTCTACAATTTTTATTGTTCAAGTTTGTTATTGTAAATAACAGTTTTTAATGTTATTTTAGACTGTATAAGTTTTATGTGGAAAACAAGATTTTTTTTATTGATAACATCACATGTTGACATATTGTAGGTAATTTTATGGAAATGAAAAGAAATATTTTGATGACTAATAATCTTAAATGTAAAAAACAGTACAAAAAATACTATATTACATAATAGTATATTTATTGCATTGTCCAACGTTTCTTAGGTCTTCTTCAGGGCTATATAAGATAACCGCCGACTAACTTCTTCTGAAATTAGAATCTACAGTCAACCATTTTCATACCATTAAAAACAGTAAAATTTATTGAGAAATTTAAACTATTCAAATAATTTTTATTTCATTCCCTCCTAAATTTTACATGGTTATAGCTTTTGAAATTATGACATTTTGTCGCCAGTTTCTTAAATTATGGAATAAAGTAATTATGTTGTATAAAATCGGCAATGAAATAAATGGACTGTTTGAATTTTTTGGAAAATTAAGTAATATGTTTCAATTGAGATTTCATTAATATTTCTCCTCCAATATTTGGCATGTGCAAATAATTCACATAGTATATTGTTCAATGAACAAACGACAAAATGATATAGAAATAAGTTCACAGAATCTATTATGATACATTTTAAGGAGTTACATAGTAAGGGATTCATTTTTTTTCCATGGCCGATTATAATGATTTGTTTATATTTACAAATCAAAATGTGTTCACAAATCAGAATAGGCTGTATGTTTGTTTATATTTTATAGGGAAATTATTAATCACTCCCCTTTAAAATCAAGGGTGTGATCAACCATAAATTTTTGATTTTATGCAAATAAAGCTCCATTTTCTTCATAATGTTTTTCTTTTAATTTCGGGGGCATGGGTCTTTCCATTTTTTTTTTTTATGGAAGTTTCAATTTTTCCTACTTAAAGGACAAGATAATCTTCAAAATGATCGATCAATCAATGAATTTGAGTTGGCTGTTATTTTAAAATTATGATGATGTATAGTTAGGATTTACAGATTTTTGATTGAAGCATATGTGGGCCATCTTCAGAGTTAAAAATTATACAATTTCTAACAAAAATTCCTCACTATATATCATCCTCATACTTGAGAAATAATATATAAAGATTTTTTTTTTCAATAATTTATAAACTGTAACTAAGAAATATTTATTACCTGAATACTTATTAATATTGTTAAAATTTCAAAATGGTTAACAATAATAATAAATTATCATTATTTTTATTACATAAGTGTTTTGTTTTAGTTAAATAGTAAAGAAAAATGTAAACATTGATCTAACTAAAATCAGGCATGATATTTTTGTGATGAAATAAACCATAATTTACTAATTATTTTGCTCTCTCCGCTTATTAATTTACCTGGATAATCAATCAAATGCATCAAATATTGTAACTTATATGTTTCCAAATTTTAAAGAAAATTAAAAAAGTGTATCTTTGTAATAGTTATATTTTTCTTTATTCAGGTACTGAAGAAGATCAAGAAGCAACTGATATGCTTGTAGGAAATGCGCAGAACTTAATGCAGAGTGTTAAGGAAACTGTTCGTGCTGCAGAAGCTGCCTCTATCAAGATAAGAACAGATGCTGGTATAAGGTTGAGATGGGTCAGGAAACAGCCATGGTACCATTACTAAATTATATCTATATAACTACATTGTAATTTACATAACTATGTTGTAATGTCTTACTAATATGCATTAACATAGCTATTGTCGTTGAAATCCTTATTTGAGCAATCAGCCACCCTTTCCATTATAAATGCTGCCATTACTATTTATGGGTATTCTAATTTTTTGTTTCTTTTTCTGTAGTATTGTTTAAGGTGAGGGATATTTCTGATGATGCAATGTTTCGATAAAACCTTCTAAATAGATAGGGAGTAAGGTTTTAGAAGAAAGCCATGTAATGTATATATGTGCTTCGCTTTAGTGAAAATTATTGCCATTCTGAAAATTTGTTTATCTTTTTCATATCTTAATTAAGTTTTATTCTTTTTCTTTTAATATGATGACAGTAAATATTATGAAATGCTCATATTTTATGGTTAAGGTGCTGTGTCGCATAGTGCAATTTCTGTAATATATATTGTATTAACAACGCTTACAAAGTATGTGTATTGAGGAGGGAAATAAATCAACATATAGAATTTATGATAGCTATTTAAATATAAAGACCATAATGTGATTGAAAAACTGTTCCTTTAGATGTTTATGGAATATGATAATCGTAGATTTGTAGTTGCCCGAATTAAAACGAAGTATAAAAGATGGGAATGTTTTTCAACTATTTTATGGATCTTCTTCGAAATGAGAATCCCAATGAAACTATGATTATCTAATTAGAGACATATTGTCAATCTTCTTACCAGTAACCAAGCTTGCCTTTTTTTATTCTAAATTAATTTAGAACTTTAATATTTATAAAATATATTTTTTACTAATGCACACTATATATTCTATAAATATAGTCTAATAAATACTTTTATTAGAGAGAACCAAGTTTGAAGACTGGACATTAATAACAGGCTAATGGATACACAAAATAAAAGTTAAGTGGAATCCAAAAAAGCAATCTAAATGCCATTTGTAACAGCCTAAAAATGAGGCTAAATTGGACAATCATTATTAATTGATTGTCTATATTAATAAATAAGGTATTTGCTCCGTTATTGGTGTCCAGCTTATGTATTTTGAATTGCAGTAGCAATGATTTTTGTAAAAATTATTGAAACCTATAGTGCATTAAATTCTTCAAATGCATGTAAACAGGTGCTAAAATTTTGTCAGTTAATTGATATATCAGAGGTTTGAACAAACTGTTTTTATTACAGTGAAGTAAAAGTTTTATTGTATTGAATTCCTTTATGAAATTTAAAAAAATATAAATTAGACAACTCTTAAACCCTTGTTTTTACATGGGAGTGTTTTTCAGTTCACATCAATGGGTCTGTGGGGGATCCATATGAATATTTATTTATCTTACATTTACAGCAGTATGTCCATATAGTTAACTGGTTTTGTAAATTCATTTTGGTTTTTGAGGAGGAAGAATGTTTTCCTTCCCTTAAGCATTCTCCCACATTTAGAAATAGTTCTAGCCTCTTTATATTATTTATGACATATTTAAAAATTTATATCTTTATTTCCGTTGATAAAATAAGGATATTTTTGTAATTTGCAAGAATAGAAATATTATCCGGCTATATTTGAAAATATGACAACTGCTACTTAAAATAAATAAATAAAAAAATAGTTTTTAAAAAACAATTGTTTTGTTATCAAAAGAAAAAAAAGTTTAAATGAAACCATTTGCATGAGATAAAATTACTCTTTAGGTCCCAATGGTAGACTTCAGATCTTTGAAATGAATTAATTTGTAATTATTATTATTTTTTTTATTTTTATTTAACTAAGCTTTAGGTGTTGGTCAAAGTTAATAACAATTTAATGCCTATTGTTTGCTAATATAACATTGATTAATGCATATATTTTATGTAATCATTGTTTAGTTTTGTGGATGAATTAGATGTTATTGTTCATAGATATATATTTTTTAAAAATACAGATATATTTAAATATCTTCATTCTTATTTATGATCTATATTATATCGGAATGAAGTAGCATTGGGTTATTATTTAAGTTGAATAATAACCTCTGATCGCTAATTTTAATCAGTATTCTTCTTTTATTTATTATGGTATTGTTTTAGATTTTCCATAGTTGATTCATAATGTTAATTCTTAATTTCCATTAAGATTGGTTATGGGTCCAATCCTTGTTATAAATTAAGACAGCTATTATTAGAAATCTGTTATAATGACTGCAATCTGGAATTCAAGAGCTTTGTTCATGTATTATTTAAAAATAGTTTAGCCAATGTTGAAATATGCCATTTCCTATATATTAAGCTTCCAAATATATTATAAATAGATTTTATCAATTATGTATGTTAATTAGCAATAACTGTGGTGATCAAGACAAATCTCTATGTAATTTTATAGTCGTTAACATTCTTTATGATATAGCTTTATTTTACAAACATTTTAATATTGTGTCTATTGGTCAAATAGAGCCAAAAATCATGTGATATTGCTTCTAGGCCTACTAAATATTTACATAACCAGAAATGAATTAATATTAATTCCAACTATTATAAATAGTTCCCTCCCTTTCAGGAAATTCCGCGAAGCTGTTCTAATTTAACAATGTGCATAATATTAACTATTAGTAAATATTCTTCCTTAGATATTTTCAAAATAAAAAATATAAAGTCTGATTTTCCATTAGGTAGATTATTTGTTGTTTTATGTTATTTTTTTGTTTTAAATTTGATTTTTATATTAATTTATGAAATGCATCTATAAACTGGTGTTATCGCTATTATTATTATTTATTAGTTTATTCATCTTCTAACAAATATTGTAACTTTGATAAATACTAACAGTAGAGGTTAATCTTATTGGCTTTTGTGTAAAGCCTTTTTTTGTGCCAATCTTTTTCTAACGGGTAATTTAGTTGCAAGCCCCATGAGGCAGAATTTTGTAATAATTAGTTTTATGTTATTTATATAAATGTCTTAAGTGTACTAATCAAAAATGTGGTTGACAAATTTAATATATTTTTTTCTATTTATGATTCATCTTTTCTAAGATTGCTTATCTTCTAATAATTATAATTAAGTGGTTACAAAATTTATTTATGTATTTTGTTCAATTTCTCTTTAAAATTTAATGAACTAATTTTTTTATTAGAGGAGTTATTAAAATATATTATCAGTTAAATTTGTGTACTTGATTTTTGTTACTATTTTTATTTGATATATTTTTGTTAAAAATTTTACTATTGCTGCTAAATATTTGATTTCCGAATTGATTTTTAAGCTAATTATTTGGAAACATTAATTTATATTTTAAATCCTAATAATGTGTTTCCAGATTGAAACTTTTATTTGTTAGTATAGGACTGTATGCACAATAGTATAACTAATTGACTAATAGAGGTAAACTAAGTTGATTTAATTAACTTTGAGAAATGCTTTAAAAAATAAATGTTTATTTTTATCTTTATTTTTTATCTACCTACCTCTTATAGGTGTTATTTATTTCACGCTTATCCCTCTGGTTCACATTACATAATATTATGTTCTATCAGTATTTTTCTGGCTTCTATTCAGCTTTTTCTTTTATTATTATTTTTTTTTAACTCTAGAACTTTGCATGAATTGCTAACTTTCTTTCACTTACAACCTTACGTAAGTAGAAATTAATTACAGGATAAGGAGATGAGTAACATTGTTGAATTCTTAAAAAAATGAATTTAAATTACCTGTATATATTGAACATTTCCAAGTCAATGGGATCGTAACTTGGACTGTATTTCAATTGTGATCCAACCCATCATGAATTAAGTTTATTTATTTTTTTAATTAAAAATAATTTATTTTAATAATGATTTTTGAAATAATTTCCACACATTGTTATGACAATTTTTTCATTTATTAGATAATTAATATGAAATGATAATTTCAACTAGTATAAAAAAAAGTTGTCTGTTTTAAGATTTTTATTACTACGGTTATATATTATTTCTTCTTTTTTTGGAGGAATTGGTTTGTGAATTTCATCTATTTAGTGACATTTCATTGAGTTTTCGAATTCATGGCTGAAATTTTGTTGGATTTTAACATATTTATTGAGCGACATTACAATATGTCACAAATAAGGACATTTTAAATAGTGTTCAGAGAGCACATTCACCCTCTATCAACAATAAATAATACAGAACTGAAAACAATAATACTAAAATTAAACGTATATAAACTAAACTAAACAAAAAGAAACTAAACTAATAAAAATAACTACCCATATACACACATGCTTCTATACATCTAAAAAAAAATAAAAAATCACTCACTCAAGATCTCCAAGCCCAGCCTTTCTCCCCCACTCAAGGCTTTGGAAGGAAAGGCAGGACTCCAGAAGATCCCAGTGCCTTTAACTCAGCCACATTACTGGTATTAAGGAGCAGTAGACTGATCAGAGGCACTATAATTGTTTGATTCAATTGAAAATTTCGAATTAATTGTAGTTCTCAGATTTTAGGTCGCCATTACACATTCCTTATAGGAATTGTTTGAAAACATTGGAAGGGTCTTGCTTCTGTTTTTTAATTGTATTTTTTATTGATCATACACATAAGCTATTTCAAATTATGGTTCACATTTTATTCGATGTAGGTATCTCGTTCAAGGTGCTGCTTCTGATCGGATATACGATCCCACAAGCGCATCTGAAATTATTGCTCTTGAAGTTTTCTTTGAGATAGGGATTTTTTACTGTATTATGATTTTAGAGGTACTGATTCTGTTTTTTAATTTTATTTTTTATTGTGCTTATGTATTTCGAATTAAAAATACAGTTGCATTTTCTCCAGAATTCGTGTCTTGTTATAGGTTTTCAAGTATGCTTTTCCAATTTTACCTTTGGATATTGGATGGCACATGCTTATTTTCATTTATTGAGACTGCTGAAGTTTTCTTCGAAATTGAGATCGTTTATTAGGCTTTCAAGGAGACTGAATCCAAATTTATTATTCGATTTTCAAAACTGCATTCATGATTCAAATTAATATGACAGTTTACATATTTTTTGACTTAATTATTTATGGGAGTGAGATAGTGGTAGGGCACTTATTTTGTTAACTCTGGAACTGTGCATGGATTGCTAACTTTCTTTCACTTACAACCTTACGTTAAATAGAAATTAATTAAAGGATCGAGTGGGTAAGGAGATGAGTAACATTGTTGAATTCTTAAAAAAATGAATTTAAATTACCTGTATATATTGAACATTTCCTAGTCAATGGGATCGTAACTGCCAATGCTGATCTGGCAGGCACTGATCTGCCAATGCTTAAGGTTTGAATTCTAGCCCATGGCAGAAAAATTATTTATTGTGTTTCATCAGCTGTGGGGTGATCTTGGAATCAGGAGACCCTCCTGGGGCACACCCAGACTCTATAAAGTGGGTACCCTTAATTAATTATTAAACTTGGCGGTTGAGGGTGATCTCAGTCAAATCACCTCCTTGCATAACCGTTGACTAAGAAACAGTACTTTCCCTAATTATTACTGAACCCAAGACCCTTCATAAGTTGTAGTGGTACAGGCTTTTATTTATTTATATATACATATGATGAAATAAATAATTATATTTTAATATAAGCATTTAATGAAAATTTGTTAATTTATTTATACCGAAAAGAAAAAAAAATGAAACTGCAATATTAATTTGAAATGCATGCATAATATTGATTGAGATATTATTCGACCTTAGTATTGTTGATTAATTTTATATTTTTTATTTAATAATATAAATTAATATAAAATTTTATATCAATAGATAAACACATACACGATTAATAGCGAAAAAACAGTTCTAAACATGATATTTCTCTTTTTAAATTACTTGATTTTTTACATAGAATATTTCAAATGACACATATTTTGACACATCTGAAATTGGAAGGTTTACCACGTTTACAGCCAAACCTCTAAACCATGAAATTTATTTTTTTAGTTACTTTTTTGTCTCCATCAATTAAATCAATGGTGTTTAAATGTTTTACATGAACAAACCTCTATTATTGACTGTCGAATGACTGAAACATCTTTTTTTATCCAAACAAAAAACTTGCGAAACTCAGAAAATTTAAAGTTTGGACACCAAGAGCAGTGTGAGAGATCAACCAGAATGTAATTTCAAAAGTGACCTTTCAAGACTGTTTTATAGTATTTAATTTTATTATATTATATTAATGACTGTATTATTTTTGTTAACTTGACTGAGTAGATGAGTGCAAGATTTCATTTTTTTGTTGTTCCTTGCTTTACTCAAGCAGGTAGCTTGCGGAAGTTTATATACCCCTGTTATCTACTTTAGAGATTATCAGCATTTATAATTTTGAGAAAAAAACTTTGAAGGTATGTTCACTGATTAATATTCTTCATTCAAATAAATTGAAAAAGAATAAAATGTCCAAATTTATATAAATATATTAAATTGAGATATTACCCTAAGAAAGGTGACAAAATGTTCACATCACATCATAAAAAGAAAGGAAAAATTATTCACAGTGACAATAATATTATTTAAACTCTGGCAAGTAGGAAAGGAAACATTGTGACTAAAATACACTTTACTGTAATATTTATATTTGCATTTTATTTAACATTATATTTGAAATTTATGCATTTATATGCATATTTACATACACATGTAAGTATATAATGCTTTACATGGTTAAATATACTTTAAAAACCATTATTTTAAATTAAAAATATACCATATTTCTCCTTGTAAAATTGCAAAATATATGTTTAGAACTTTGTGTTGATATTTTCAGTATGTTGTAAATTTGGTTTTAAAAAAATGTAAAAATCATAGACCACTTGACAATTCATGAAATCTTATCCTTATCTATTAAAGCCTTTTTATAATAATGCAAGACAGGCAACTCAATATAGCATAATGTAACTAAAAATGTTCCTTGTCATTTATCACTTATATCAAACCACATTACTAAACATATATAATTTTAAGCAGGTATTATTGATATATACAAGGTGATTATTTCTATTATTACTTCAGCCTTAATAATAAATAATACAGTTATAATAATTACTTTATCTGATCTCACCATTAGATGTGCATTAGTTATAAATTAAATTATTCTGAACATATATTGACTAAGGCACGTAATCATGCTAGGCTCAATACACTCTAACAATTTTAAAAATATTATATTCTTGAAGAGAGGCTCTAAATTTTGATAAAGGTTTCATATTATATTAATTGTAGCATTGCCATAAATTATAATTAATTAACAACAAAGTTCATCACATTTATTTGACATACCTAAAAATGTTAATGGACAATTGATATATGTATTACAATTAATACATTCTGTGGAATATATAGCAATATAAATATTTTAACTTTAAGTCAAAGTGATATACAATGCTAATACTCATTTAAATTATTCATTTTATTTATTAACAGTTATAAAATGGTAAGGTAGATTTGACAATAAACTGTAAATGTTTATTATACATTATAACAAGTTTCTTTTCAAGTTTAAATTACAGCACAATTTGCATCCTTCACCTAGTTTAAGGGATTTCTTAAAATTAATTAATTCTTCTTTTTTTCTTTTTTTTTTTTAAATAACATATAGAAGCATTCATCAACACTCTTTGCACCATCCAATAATATTTACTGTTTTTTTGTTTTATTTATTTTTTGAAAAGTCAGCAATGCAATCCTACATTTAATTGAGTGGCTCTAATTTATTTTTGATGTATGTATTACTGTGGCAGTGAGACTACTTTTTATTATTATTCTCTACTTCTAAGTACTAGTAATTTTATCTAGACTGGTTTGCCTAAAACACTAAATTGTAAATACTAATCTGTTAACTTCTATTACAATTTTGTTCATTTTATGGAATTCATATCCTTTTTTTCATTTTTTAGCAGTATTCTGTTTTTTTGGTATGTAGATTGCATATTACTTGTTACAACTAATTAAAACTTTATTAGTTTAATTTAGTAAGTTTAAATTACTTAGAGTCTAAAGTGTCTTTAATGACAGGCCAAATTTTAATAAATGCCTTTGATAGATTTTTCTTTTCAATAGTAAAACAAAAATGAAACAGCCTTTTGAGACACAGAGAATTTTAAGATTAGGAAATAAAATACAACTTTTTTTTAATTATTATTATTCACCACTTGTAAAACAACTTAAAAATAAAATCCCATTTTTGGTAGTTAATTAAAAAGAAATCTAGATAATTAGATCATGTGCATAATACTCCTTGGCACATAAAACAATTAAAAAAATTAAATAAAAACTAACATGTGTCTTAGGCTTTATTTTTATGAAATAATGCATCTTAGGTGAGGTAACTTAATTGTAAAAATATTAATTATAATATAATAAACAAACACAACATAATAAAAGAAAAAAAAATATGATACATACTTCCAAACACACTGACGATGACTTGTTCCCTGTCATGACATATAATAGTATGATAATATATTTATTTATAAAAATCACGTGCATAAACATTAACATTAGCACAAAATAAATATTAACAACCACAGCATGCATATAGGCCCACTCCCTTAAGTCCAACAACAACAATCCAGGCTTATCTCTCATATTCACCTATGTTAATTATAGTTAGTAATAGGCACGTAGCTGAAATTACTATTAACCAATCACGTACGAGGTATACTTATAACAATAAAAAGAACATTGTTACCTCATGTATCGTTTTTTCTCAAAGGAGAAACAAACCTTCAATATCTACATGATAACATATTTCAAGATAAAAAGTGAATGCTTAGTCTACATAAAACAATGGAATTACATCAAAAACAATCAATCATTTATCATGAAGCTTAATTTTTTTTAAATTAGAAAATAAACTAGGTTATGAGGAACAATTTCTAACAAACTTTTATAAAGTTTTAACAGAAAACAATTTTAAATAAATGAAGTAGTGATGAAAAACATGAACATAATTGGCACCGTTGTTCAGTCTTAAAAATTCCAACACTCATTTCATAATAAAATTTTGTTAATTATCTCCTTAAATCTCACCCATGGTAAATATTTACCAGACTTTATTATCAAGTAGTTTAAACATTTATTTAAGTATATATTACCATATATAATATATATTATATACAACACATATAAAATAAGATATGTGAACCATTAATATAAAATATAGAAAATAGAACAAATGATATTGTGTGTTGTGTGGAGTGGATCATTGGGAGGGGAGCCATGCGCTGGAGTATTTATTGTATTATGCAGCATATGCCACATGGAAAAGGTCCAGGTCCAGTCTTGATTGGGAGTGCCAGGCGGTAATATTTGTTGACAGAGGCGATTGGATCACACATTTCCCTCACCCGGCTGCTGTCGTATGCTGTGGCAACCCTTGTCCCTGCGCCACTATGATATGGCACAGGGAAAGGGTTGCCTTCCCCGTTTTTTTGACCGGTAGCTTCTTCTCCCTCTTCAATTTCATCATCTGAATCTTCAAGCCATTTTGTTACGGCTGAAGTGATAGGCCACCTTTCAACAGCTGCGTTTGAAACAGCATCAGCTACTATTTCATCTGCCAGCCTTGTCGCTAGTTTTTCGGCAACTTTAGCGCACTTCTTTCTCCGAGGTGGAGCTACAGGAGGAATTTCAGGTTCAAGGTATGAGTCCTCATGAAAGTCATTTAGCTCAGTGAATTCCAGAGCTTCCTGAGCTATCAATTCACTTTCAGTTGTATCACCTAACAGAAATTCTTCAGGTAGGTTGCAGTCACTTACTTCTTCTGTTATATTTGAAACTGAAACCTCTAGTACAGGTTCCTCTATAGGCTCTTCCTTTTCACAAGGACTTGTACTTTCATCTTCAAATAAACTCAGTTCTTTAGTATCATTTTCTTCAACTGATAAATTTCTAAATTCTTTTTCAATAGTGTCGTTTTCAACGACTGTAATTAGTTCTGTCTCTTCAGAATTTATTACTGGAGAATTTTCAAGATGATCTTGGCATAAAGCAGCATCCTCAACATGTTCAATCAAATCAGTTGTAACTGCTGGTGGATCTTCTTTTTCTTCCTGTGACGGCCTTTCTTCTTTGATATCTGCCATGTGTGAGTCTGGCTCACTAGGAATAGATTTGTTGTCTTTATCTGCTTCATCATTGGAGAGGGAAGAAAGAGAACCTTGCCCTCCTGAAGTGCCACATGGGTCTGTAGCGATGCCAGAGTCAGAATTAGTTTTTGTGGAACTAGAACTTGAAACTGGAGCTTCCAAGCTACACACTTCTTCACAGCTTGATTCAGATCCTTCATCTGTCACCTAAAATGAAAATAGAAATATTTTTATCAAGGTAAAAATACATGTAACATGATTATTTATAAAACCATAACCCAATTGATTAAAACTATTTCTCAGATGTCAGTAAGAGTGAAATGTTTATTGGAAATGTGCCATGCTTGACAGCTTTGGGATGAACCATCTTTTAGTATTTGTTGATAAACATGACAGAGTAAATAATCATTATATTGCATAGCATATGATTTTTCTTATTATTTAAGGAGATAATCTAATGTACTGTAAGAAATCAAGAAGGAATATCTTTACTTACATTTTTTTTTTAGGAGAAAATCTAATGTCCTTACTGTAAGAAATCTAAAAGCAGTAGAAAGTATTGAACAAAGTAATGTTCATGACAATGTATGTTGTGATATGGCTAAGCTAATGACACCCAAGAATGGTTCCAGTTCTTAGATTTAGAAAATTCTGAAACATCTGACCTACTGGACTGCGCTTATATCTAATATTTTTTATAGATTTTCATAACTAAAGGAATTGCTTGGAGGTCAGCCATATATTTAAGAAATGAGTGACATTCTGGTTTCAAGAGATGGAAAAGGTGGATATTTTTTACAAATTACCTTGAAGAGTTGTCCAAACTATTTTGAAATATATGTTTAAAATTATGTCATTAGGGCAGCTTATGAAATGGCTTATTTCAATCTTATGATTATCTAGTAGATACTTCCCTAAAAAATGGAACAATATTGTCATAGATTTGACCAATCGACAAAAAAAAAAAAAAATTATAAGTTTACTATATTCAAAAAATACTAAAGCTTTGAGCCATATTAATGACATTCACATAAAAATTTAGTTCTAGGAGGCTGATGATTTACTCAAATGCACAGGCGGATCTACGGGGGGAGGGAGAGTTGCTTTAGGGCTGAAGCCCCTCCAAAATGGTAAAATGTAACCATGTTTTATGGAAAAAAATATTAAAGCATTACCTCTTAAAGTATTATTGCTCGTGAAATTACATTTAATATGACTTAAAGAATCGCTTAAAACACCATTTCGTAGGTAGTTAGTATCTTTTGTTATTTTTCGAAGTAATTATCATTATATATATGAAAAAAATAGCTGTCGGGCTGACGCCCCCCTCCCAAAATTAAATCCTGGATCAACTAGTGCTCAAATATTTCTGTTTATTTACAAATATCTTTCTGTTGATGGAATATTTATTTGGCAATCTTAATCATCTTCCAATCACACCAGTCTTTAGACTGAAATACTGAAACTTTGAATGTTATTGAAAACTTCTTCAAATTATTTGTTTTTGACTAATACATGAAACCATTGCTAAAAACAAGTGAAAGAACCAGAAAAGGATTAGCACAGGCATTACAAGATTTCCATAATGTGGAAGGATCTAACCCAAAGAAACTTATTAGCACTAAAATGTGTCTTTCAAAGATTTCATTATGTTTTTTGTAGAAATTTGGAAAAAACTTCGGTAATACTAAAATTAAACATTTCAAATTTAGCTAAGCCACTAGGACATTTTTTCACAATTGTATGGACTACTGTTTAGGATAGTCCTAAGGTTAATAAAAGTCATGTCCCATCCATATTATATGAAATATCTGGCAAAATTTTGATGTTTTTCTACCTGTAAGGTGTAGATAACTAAAAATATTTGCCTGGCAAGGTATTTTGGGTTCATCTCTATCATTTTCATGTAAAAATTCCTCATATATTTATGAGGTAATATCTTTTTCAAATATTAAATTTGCTGGGTTGGTCTAACCTATCAAGATATTTCGTCAAATTGAGTGTGATAATCTTCAAGGTAGTCTGAAAATTGAAATAAACTATTTTACAAGTTTCCATTTTAAGACATGAGTTAACCACAATGTCCATATTTTTCTATTAAAGAAGTAAATAACCAAACATATTTGTCAGGCAAGGTTTTTCCTGAGTCAGGTCTAGCAGTAAAACATTTTCATAAACAAAATTCTCATGCTGCTTATGGCACAGCTTTCCAATTAAAAAAAAAATCAAATAATTGTGCAGGCTTAATTTGTACAGCCTTCTATATCTACTAGTCAAACATTCTGCTGCTCATAAGGTAATAAAAAAAGTAGCTGATAACCTGTAATAAAATTAGTTTTAAAAATAAAATTCAAAAATATTAAATACATCACCCATAAACTTTATCTAATAAAGAGCTTTCTTTAAAATTTGTTATAAAGAAAGATTTTCATCAGTACAGTAAATGCATAATATGTCATTAATGTTCTATAAAAAGGACAAATCCAACAATTCAATATTTTTCAGGAGAGAAACTGATGTTTTTGCTATGGCTATAGGGTGAATCTACAAGGAAAGGGATGTTACCTAAAAATATAAAGAGTATATGTTCACCGGTTTTATCTATTGTGTCATAAGTATAAAAAGATAAAGTTCCAGAACTACCCAATTTGTTGAATTGCCCTTTTCATAGAAGTCTTATGATATTTGAACCATTAAATAAATCTTGAAATTTCTTACTCCTCCTCTCCTTCTCCTCCTCCTTTTCTTTCTTCTTTTAGACTGATCTGTATTGGTTTGGGAACCTTGAGGTAGAACACCTTGTATGTTTACTCCTGAAACAGTGAATAAACAAATTTTTTCAATTTTAAGAAGAATTACTTAAATATATAAATATAAAGACACACACACACATATATACAGGGTGTTTCAGGATTAAGTGGCCAAACTGCAAAAATTAACTAAGGACCTCAAAACAAGAAAAAAATTTCCTCTGAAGGTATGTCTGCAAACACTTTGTTTAGGAGATATTCACATCTAAAGATTTTCATTATTATGAATTATTTACGTTATATGAAATAAATAAAACCTATTTATTCATTCCATCTACTTTATTAATTAAATGTAAACATTAACATACAGTATTTTAATAGGTCCGCATTTCTTGCCGCATCAACTCAATGCGGAGACATTTCTGTAATTTCTTAATAATGATTACTATGATTTAGTTGAACATATTTCACTAAAACTGAGAAGGGGCATGTGGCCTCAATTAGGTGGTTGTCCTGCACATTACGGAAGAGATCTACGACAATGGCTAAATGTTAATTATCCCAATCACTGGATTGGCCGTGGAGGACCAGTGACTTGGCCTGCACGCTCTCTATAACTGACACCACTGGATTTTATTTTTATGGTGACATTAAACAAAAAGTCCATGCAAGTACAATCAATGATCTTAATTCCTTACGAGGAAGGATAATTGATTCTTTTGAAACACTAACACATATCCCGTGCCGTTCTGCCACTGCTGCTGTTGATGAAAGATGCCAAACATGTCTTAATGCTCAAGAAAATCACTTTGAACAACATTTAACATGAATTTAATGTTTATGTTTCATTAATAAAGTAGTTTGAACAAATAAATAAGTTTTATTTACTTAATATAACGTAAATAATTCATAACAATGAGAATCTTTTGATGTGAATATCTCCTAAACAAAGCTTTTGCGGACATACCTTCATAGGATTTTTTTTTCTTGTTTAGAGGTTCTTAATTCATATTTTCAGTTTGGCCGCTTAATCATAAAACACCCTGTATATATAAAATTCTAAAATTTGATTTTCTTTTAAAACAAATGTCTTAATATTTAATTAATTTTATAATTCTGATTTTAATTAGTGGGCCCTTTTTTCTTTACTATCATTAACTTTTAATATATTGAGTTTTGAGTTTATATTGAAATAAATATTGTGTAGATAGCTTCACAAAATCCCAAAGAATCTAATTTAAAAAAAATATGACAGTCAATAAAAACTTTTTTAAATAATAGAGCGATTAGATGATTGTTTTATTTATATAGAGGATAGGCTTTTGTTTTGTTTTTTACTAGTTTTGTAGTTTTTAACTATTCCAATATGTGATATTTAAGGTAGTTATTATTAAATCTAATTTTGCAAAATTATTAAGGATTTGTAACACATGTTTGTCATCACAGTGAGCTGTGTGTTAAAGAGTCACGAATCCTGAAAATTGGATTTGTCTATTGAAGGCTATTTAAAGATTTGATAAGCCTTCGTGCGATCATGTCTGTCAATGTTGGTAATCCCATTGTTTTAATATTACAATTTCACTCTCAAAATGTAAACTTGTTCCCATGGGTGTGAAGTTGTCATGACAACAATTACAAACTCCTCAAACTTTTTATTTTATAGATTTATATTTTAGAATTAGAAGAATTATAGAAGATAAAAGAAAAGGTAATCCATTGATTTGCTTTATTTTGTGGAAAATATATTAAAAAATTAAAAGAAATATTTTAAGGAACAACTGAAGAAGCATAATTAGAAACTAGTGCTGACCCATATTGAGACTTGATACTTTGTGACTGATAGCCAAATAAACTTGCCAAAGTATTCATTTGGCTATCAATAGCCCAATGTGTTGACAGATGTCCAACAAAGTTCTCACTAGTCACTTCAATAAAAAAAATGTGAATTAATCAAAATTTATAGAAACACTGAAGCACAGGAAAACAACAACTTGATAATATCAACATCATTTAATTATATTCAAATATTAATCATTATGTCTGCAGTTAAACTATTCATATTTTCTAAATTCTATATATTTGGTTATGAAATGATATAATACATTCTATTTTGCCCAACCACACCTAAATATATATCACCAAAAATTAAATTGAAATATGGATTAAATTTATAAACAAACAAAGGATTATTTGTAAAAAAAAGTTCAAAACCACAAATGCCTCTTTTTCCTTACTGCAGCAAGTTAGGCAATCAATCAATATTATTTGCAAATTTTAATTACTCTGCAGCCCCATTTTAATTTTAATAAAAAATAATTGTATCTTGTTTTGTTTATGATCAAAGAATCATTTTTAAAGAGAAATTAGAAATTTAAACTTAAGATGCTGCTGTTCTAGAGTTGGGGAGTTGATCCAATGCTGGCCTTAGACATTCAGCACCAGGCAATGACATCATTTCACCACTAAAAATTTTAAATTTATTTCTAAAGCTGTTTTATGTTATGTAATATTTGAATTTTATTTCATTCAATATTTCTCTAACTAATACTGTTGCTTTATTGATATGCTAAAATTAATTATTTTAAAATGTTTTGTATATATTTTTTAATTTCAAAAAGTGGTGAGAGCCCCTAAAGATCATCACCCCAAGCAGTATCTCAATGACATTTTTTCTTCTTTCATTATAAATCAATTTATAATTATAGAAATATACTCCCATGCATTTCATAAAAGAGATAATATATACCATAGATGGGGGAACCGCTGCCACATATGGTATTTGTGGCCTGGAGGCCACATTCGGCTTTCAAAAGTTTTTGCGTGATATTTATTAATTTAGTGCTAGAATTGTTTAATATTTAATTATTTAAGTAACGACAATTTGAAAATTAATAGAATTAAGTTGAATGTATTTATGTGCATGTATGTATTTAGTGATAAATAAATATAGCAACGGTAAAATATAAAGAATTATAGCAACCTCCATTATTATTGCTTAACCTTACTCAGGCCTCTAATGATAAAAAGGTACCACCCCACCTATGATATATAATAATCAATAGAGATTGATTTATTCACAAATACTTTAACAAAAACAACTCATTATATAAAAATAATTTGATTAATCCACAGTATTAAAATTATTATTCAATTCATAAAGATGAAATAAGGAATAAGATTAGTATTATTGAATAAATATTAATAATAAAGTAGCTAATAAAGTAGTCCAAAAACTCAATATGAGAAACTTCAATATTCAAAATATGAGAAACTTAAATATTAAAGTTTGCTAATAATAATATTTCTTTACTAATGTGGAAATATAAAATTTAAATTTTACAAACCATTCATATTATAGACAGGAGGTCCGAACATATATCCAGGGTACATGTAAGGCTGTGGTTCACACTGCTCAGAAGGGTCTTGAGGACTGCCAGGTGGGCATGTTGACTCGGAACTCTGACCACTCCAATTCTGAAATCAATTATTTTGATTTTTAAGATAACAGTTCTTACAAAGGCTATTGTGACCAAGTGTGTTAAGGTATTATCCGCTTTAAAATTCTCTAGTCAGAAGTGATGCTGGTTCGAATAGCCTAAAATTTATTTTGTGAATTTCAAACTTCCCACTCTGATTAGAACAAATTCTTACCTGTAGGATAATCTGTCATTCTCTAATTGGAGTAAATAAGGATATTAAGCCCCAATAAACAAGAACAAAAAATTCTAGTTTACTTTCTGATGAAGCTTTTTACTAGCTTCTCTTTGGTTCGGAAATAGTTTTTGATGAGAGCATTAAGAATAAAGCTATATCTATTTAAATGCCTTTCTATAATGAAATAAATGTCTCTATTCAGTGTTTCAGTCAAATAACATCATGATTATATGAGTTTAAAAATTAATGTTGAATAAGTAATATTGTGATTGAGTAGTAGTTTATAGGATGTGATAGAAAATGCTACCTAAATCCATAGATGCTCTTTCAAATAGCTAGTTTCTAATCCTATACTATTTTTTATTAGTTCATTAGTTTTAATACTCTTATGTATTATATGACCTCTAAATGATTGCAGAGAAGATGGGTTCTCCGTCACTTGAAAGAGAGTAGGAAGGATTGATTTAAATTTTGTGGTGGTCCACAAAATAAAAAATCTGCGTGCATCACACAACTTTCACTTACCACCATTTTTTTAGCAGAAAGAACTTAATTATTTCAAATAAAAAACATGATAGGTATTTTAGAGAACAAAATTTTGACAATTAAGCATTTAAGCCCTATTAGAGAACATCAATGATGATAACAAATATATTATATTAAAAACTGTTTAATTGTACACTCAAAATCATTTGAGCCGTTTTCGAAAAAACCGTAAAAGTCTGTTAAATTGATAATATTAAGTGCCAGTAACTCGATTTTGGTTAAAATGTTGCTGTAACATCCCAAGCATATACAAACCTTCAATATGCAATTTCACTTTCTCACGACTTTTCATTTTTGAATTAGACTGTTAACATACATACACTCAGACCATTTTGCAAACTGGGTTATTTGGACTGAGGGAAACTTAAAACGTGTATTTCCGTTGAAAACTGGGATTTGAAAATTTTAACAATCACAATACATTCCCTTACTATATATTTAATATACAGGTAAGTGAAAGTAAAAATCAACCCTCCTATACCAAAATTTAATCGTCGTCCTCTTCTGAAATGGTTAAGTAAGGGTGCTCGGCCAGATAAAGCTTTCTTACTCTTTCTGGTTTTATTGAAGTGCAGTGACTTAAAAATAAAAATATAAATAAAAACAAAAGTTAATGAAGAAAATAAGCTTGTTTATTTTTTCATTAGTTTTAATAAAAAATTAATGAATATACCTGTGAGTCTATAGAGTTGCTACTCTTTTTACGACTGGTAAAAGGTGGTGGGGGAGGCATCTGTGGCTGGAACCATTCCACTGATTGTAAGGGGACAGGGGCACATGGAAGTGTAGCCAAAACAGGCTGCGGGCCTGGAAACTGAGGAGCAGGGCCAACAACTACAGTCACAGCTCCAGTCATTGGGTCGTAGACCTCATAATCTGAAATATAATTCATAAGTTTCATAAATCTAAAAATAAAATCATTATTTAACAAATAACATAAATGATCAATAGAACTTAAATTTTTAGATATTTTTAAATTGATAAACATTTAATTTTTATTAATTATTTAATTTGGAAATGAAATAAAAAACTTTTTTAAATTCTTTAATAAGAAAGTATCCAATATTTTAGAATAAACATCAACATTTCAGAATAATATTTATTATAAAATATTTATAATAAATCTAATTTTATTCGATGCTATAAAGCTTAAATAGCAAAAATTTCAAAATTAATTGTTTGAAGGAAATTTGGATAATTTGAAGAAGCAAGAAGGTATAACAAGGTGACCGTTTAAGCCCCTTGCTATTTATATTTTATATGGATGAGATACCAGCAATACACAAAAGGCAAACTGAGAGGACATTTTTGGAATAAAGAAGCATTATGCCTAATGTGATCCAGTTTCCTTTGTAGATGTTTATAGATTTCATTTCCAACTCCATAGGAATATTTCAGCAAGTACTGTACCATTAAGTAGTATGAATAAGAGCTCAGTAAGGAAGATATGAAGATCTGCCTGGTAAGAGCAACGTCCTGATCAAACTGATAGGGGATGTTAATATATTTTTTAGCTTCAAATTGGCTTTTTGTTGAAAACACATCTATTCCTCATAGCAAAGTACATTCAGCTATACAGAAATAATCTGGGGCCACCATTTTACAAATTGATCAAATGTTCATTTGTATCAAACACAGATTATCTTTGTTGAATATGAGATTCTATAGGGGAGTAAATGTAGACTGAGACCACTATCTTGTGATTTCTAAAGTTTGAGTTGAAAATTCAAGGGTATGACTCCTATGTCAAGATTTGACATATCAAAGATTAAAAATGAAAAGATTCAATGTCCTAATATATTTAAAACTTTATTCTCAGAATAGCTTTCAGTGTCCATGCACCATATTCATCTTTTTTTCTATTACTTTGTCTATTTAAAAAAACATAAAATATTAGAACAGTGTTCTTGTTCTTTGTCTCATGCCATATGCCTCCGAGAATAGGACTCCTCTTTGACAGAAACTGACCATCTTACTGAGAAACTTTATGTGTGAAGTGATTAATTTCTTCTTTTGCAGATGATTATAGTTTTACTGTTAACACTGCACAAACATTGCAGCAAGCAGTGACTAAATGATATAAAAAGTCTATTAAGAGATATAAGCAGATCAGCCTGGTATGAGGGAAGGGTGCAGGAAGGTATTCATATAAGCTACAGAGGAGGAGAGACAGAGGCATTCATGGACTTCACATCCCTCTTGAAGATCACAAGGAGTCCGTTGAGGATCACAATGTCCAAAGAGTCCGTCAAGCACTTATGCAGACAAAGAGGCATAGATATCAGATCTCAGGAACTAATAAAAAGTGGAAAACGTGGCTAAATGCTCTTCCAAGCTGAAGGGCATTAGAGGGGTCATGTGGGAGAAAAAGATTTAATTTTATTTATTGAGGTAATGATAATTCATTTTATTAAATAGCATTAAAAATACAGTTTACTTACTACACATATAATAAATGCTTGGCTGATCCATATATCCTGCTGCAGCTGGGTACATATACTGCGGCATTTGTTCTTCACAACAGTACTGTTCACTTTCTACAGATTCTGAAAAATGTTTTTGGTAAAGAATATACTGATTGTAACAAAATATGAAGTAATTAAAATTATATTTTTATTTTATTGATGATTATAAATCATTCTTTAATTGTTTACTATTGACTATAGTGTAATATTATTGTGGTGATTTAAGATAAATTGAATCAATGGGATAGTAAAAATGGAATGATATACCACACTCATCAATATTAAGGTTACATTGTTGTATCAACATCTATTTAATAGTGTCTGTGAATTTATTTTATTTATATTATGAAGTTATCGAGTGTAATTGTATAAACTACAAGACCTTAAGGATTGTAGTTTATTATAATAATTTTAATTGTAAATTATTAACGATAATAATTAATACATTGCTAAATATTTCTGCTGTTATTTATCAAAACTGCCTGAATATTTCAGTGGTTCTCATAATTGTGGTCTGTAATGGCATAAATGCATCATAGTTTGTATCCACATGCTCTACAAAGTCTAGAATTTTAAAAATGGGTTAATAGGGGACTAAAACTTGGCTGAGGCAATGAACCTTGTCTCGAAAACTCTCATGTCTTGTGAGCATTGTGAAATCTAATGAGAAATTGTTTTCCATTTAGCGGGGTTGTATGAAAGTATTTTCTCAGTGGGTAATTACTCTTTTGGGGGGTTGACACCCAACATTGGCCCTCATTTACCATTTTTTAGGAACTTCCACAATCCTTAACTGGGGTTTTCAGAAGGCCTGTCAAGTTTTCTCTTTTATATATATATATATTGGACCTTACCCCATTTATTTGGAGTGAGTGCTTACTTGTGGTTATGAGAACTTTCAGTGTTTTTAATTAAAACTGAAACAATTCGTAATTTTTAGAGTAGAGAAAATCTTAGTCATACTTAATGACAAAGTTTTATATATATATATATATTTTTATAATTAAATGTTCAATAACCTTTCAAAACCAAATTTATAAATTTTAAGTTTGCATTTACTCCGACTTACTACCGATCTTTTTTTTTTTACTTCCAGTCACTATTATGAAATATATGAAAGGAATGTTTATTTGTTAATAAATTCCATACAAATATATATTAAATACTTTAATTATAACATTTTATCAATTAACATAAACTGTACTAATTAGAAACATACTTTTTGCTTCTTCACTAGTTAGGGAAGCATTGTATTTGTGCAAGAAGTTAAAAAAAATTATATGCTTGGAATCGATAATTTCCACTGGCGTTTTACGTTTCAGACATCAAGGATCAAATTTGGCTCGGTGCCTGTCTGTCAGTCTGTTTATCATCTAGTCGATGTGACGGGTCTATCACCTAGTACTGTTCTTCCGATTTTCATGAAATTTTTAGGGATTGTGCGGGTTGTTGCCTAGATGCTCCCATATAAAATTTATCAAATCCCACCCAGCACTTCCGCTCACGTACGCGCAAACATATTTTTTTAGATATATCAATATTTCAGAAATGGCTCGTTCGATTTGGCTCAATATTGGATAAAAGGTAGGTATTTGTGAAAAAATAATGTATGGTTAATTTTATCGAATTCTGTCTGTTCCTTTCTGTTATATACGTGCAAACGTGCTTTCTTTGATATGTCTATATCTCTAAAATCGCAAGTTCGATTTTGAGAATTTAGGGATTGATAAACGTAAAATGAAATAGGCATAAATGTTATCAAATTATACCTAATACTAAAAAAAAAAAATACTTGCATTAGAACGATGCATTCGATTTGACCAAAGTTGGAGGAAATTTGGAGAACAGTATAGAAATTACTTAGTATCAATTTCATTGAATTCCATTAAAATTAATATAAATAATTATTAACAATATAATGGCTGTGAAATGTGGAAGTCATCGATCATCTGGAGTGGGAGTGAGGTTACCAGTATATTTTTATTATGGGTATGGGGTTATTAGGGTATGGGGTTATGAAATTTTAGGTTTAAACATATATAAAATAATCGTAATTAAAACTAAATTAGCAAGATTCATCCAACAGTTTCTTAAAATTACATAAGTTATAATGCAGATATATATATATATATATATATATATATATATATATATATATATATATATATATATCCAATACATTAGTATATTTTCTATATAAGCTTTATACATTAATAGAAATATATAAGAAAAAAATTAAGAAATGCTAACCTGCTGATTGAGTATCACCAGTATCCTGGCTTGGTGTGGGAGTTGACTTCTTGCGGCCAAGATATCCTTTTTTAAAAAGCATGTCTTGCCTTGGTGTCGTAATCTTCGTATATTCATCTGAAAATAAAAATAGAAATTTATATTCTATAGTTGTCTTATTTACTTCTAATAACAGGGAGTTTACTACAAATTTAAAACAAAAATGGCAAGTGTACTTAAGATGGGAAGGAATTTTATTAAATGATAACACACATATTATAAGATTCCAAGCTAACCACATTTCCCCTTCGGGAATGCAGTTATATTGCCTAAGGGGGCTGAGTGGCCGAGATGACAAAAGTGTGTTTAAAATGCTCAAATCCCAGTGCCAGTGGGACTTTTAACTCTGGCAAACTCACCCGGCCTTCTCCCCATGTCCGGAAATCTTCCTATAGGAAATATTGCCTACTACTAGCCATTATTTTTTTAAATTAACTTACGTTTTATCTCGTGTTTTAGATAAGTATCTTGTATTGCAAACTTTTCCAAATCTGGATCATATAGTATGCGTAACTCAAAATAATTTCTTTTTAATGCCTCTTGACTTATTTCACTCCCGCCATTACCCTTCTAGCAGCATTGGTGCAGTTTTAGGCGATAGCTGTAATCGTTTGGTTCTCTTATATAGATATCTAGGGAGCACGTGGTTTATAATAACCGGACGCGATCACAAATCACTCCCTCTCTATCAGGATGGTTAGCAACTTTTGCGGACATCTCTATCCTTTTGTTTTTTTACGGGGCACGTTTATTGGTCCTGTGTCCAATCCCGAATCTAAGGACCAAGGAGCTATGTTGCTATAGACACGGGGGTCGCTCACCTTCCTGTGAATCTCAGGGTGGGGACGGGCTAGGATAGGCTAGGAACCGAACCAGCACCGTTGTGGTCTATGCAATCGAGTAGAGACTACACATATTTATTTTAATTTATATTTTTTATCTTTTTTTGTTATTAAATCCCGCGAACGGGATTTAAACTCGTAGCATAAATTTTTTGCAGGCGCCGTAACTAGATCGACCACCGCGGCCCCTCTAAAAAATAATGAATAGATTCAATGTACAGTAGAATTGGTTTAGATACGAAATTTTGGATTTAAATATATCTCAGTGTACCTTCGCATGAAGCACATGAAATGTTTATTAGGGCGGTTTAAGAGATGAGCGGAATAAGAGGCCGATATTATAGAATTATATTTATATATTAATGTAATTATTGCACAATTATGTTGGTTGATTTTTCTAAGTCATTGTTTTTATCGTAATCATTAGAGATGGCTGGCTCCGGCTGGAGACCATGATGGACGGCTCCATCAGGAATTACTACGCCGATGCGGATGAAGATTATTTAATCCGCTCCTATAAACGGCTAAAATTCGGAGGCTCCCACAAAAGAAGTTTCAACTTTGAGTATAAGAATTTGATATATTGTTAGTGCTTTGTTCGATTATTTTATGGAGTGTTTAATTTTTGATTATTTATTAAGTCACCAAGTAAAGGTATTATTCATTTAACTTTGAACACCTTCGGTTACAGCTTAATCCATCCCCGAGAATGCGCAATACGAAATATAATTCCATTAAGTGGGAAGCCGTGATGGCGGAGAGAGAGTTAATGTATTATGTTAAAAACCTCGAGCCTAGCGACACAGGTTCAAATCCGGCCTGGGCGGTATGAAATTTATTTCGTAGCGTACAAAATGACTAAATATGATAAGATAAATATGACAGAAATGGCCAGATAAGAGGAAAAAAGGTTTATTATATTACGTGAGCAAAATAGGATAACGGAATGAATTCTTTTCCTATTAGCTGGTGCTTAAATATAAATGCTTAAATATAAAGACTATAGGTTTCAGGACGATCTTTCCGAAACAATGTGTACAATTATGTTAAAATTGAGATGTTACTAAATCTTATTATTTGGTTCTAAAATAGGATAATAATTACAATATTTCAATTAAAATGTGCTAATTGCCAATCATAGTAGATTATGTTTAAAACTTTCTCTTTAGATACAAATGTTCTAAAATGGAGCTAAAAGATATTTGTTGATTAAAAGATGAAATAAATTGCTTTATTTTTCGACGAGGGTTGAAAGACTGTGAAGTAGATATTAATCACTTCAAAACAAAGAGGCTATACTCTCTCTGTTTTACATTATTCAAAAGTCAGACCCTTCGCCTGGAATAATTTCTTTCTTTAGAAATCCAATGGCAAACGGAACATCCATGGGTTGATGTTTCGTTTACCATTGTATTCGTTTACCCATACCATCGTTTACCTCGAATGGTATTATGGTTTCGGTGCGTTTTAATACAACAAAAATAATTTGAATTTTAGATAGAAATTTTAATTTGGCAGGTATTATTTTAGCATGTAATATTGATGTCCCTCAGGATTATCAAATATTTTAAGGGGTTGAATGGATTAGCTGGTTCGTGTGTTTCGAATACATCCGTCGACAACTGTAACAACCGATTTTTCAAAATTCAAAACGTTTCAAGGAAATAATTTTAAAGGCATTTGAATGGAATCTTCTCGAATACTTAAAACGTTTTTATCTTATTGTAACCTACAAATTTTTTAATCTACAAAAATTCTGAGAAATGTGGCGATTTTTTCATCAAATTGATTAATAATCGTATGATAATTTCATACAAAAATCGAGAAAAAGGTGATCTACAAAAATATTGGGTCATTTGGCCTATGTAACGTCGTTATTTTGACATATTTGGGATGGAGGTCACGCCAAACGGCCCAATATTTTTATAAGCGATCTTATTTCTTGATTTTGTGATCAAATTATCTTACGATTCAAGTGGAAAGGAAATGGTTGTTCACGAGGTTTTAGTACCTAATCAAATAGATAAAGTTTGCCGACCTCCAGATTGAAAACGCCCCAATTCCAAGATTTTTTGTAAATAATATATTTGCAGATTACTATGACATGAAGCTATTCACGAAGTTTTAGACGTATGTTAATAATTTGTTAAAAAGGGGTGTGTACCACGGACTATATTTCTTTCAATTGTTTGGTAGTTTTGTACTGAAATCAATATAGATAACCTGAATAATTATTATCTGATAATAACATTTATTTCGAAATACATTACCTAAAATAAGGATGTGAAATATTGATTTTTATTGAGGAGTTAAGAGAAGAGGCAGTAAAATTAGGCCTGCCTTTCTCGGCAAAAATTCTATTTACCGGCCTGATTTAGGTTAATTTAATTTAATAATGTGGGAAGTTAGATTGCCCACAACGGCTGGTTCCCGCGGAAAGTTAGACCATACCCCCTAACTAGGGAAGGCCTACAAGTTGTAACGTACTTGTACGAACAAGCTAGACAAAAATAGAAACAAAAATAATAATGTAGTATATCATGTCGAATGCATGCTTCGGTGGTTGGGTAAGAAAATGAACATATTACCATTGATATTTTTTCTTCAGGTTTAAAAAAGCATTATGTGACTGACAAATAGTGGCACAAATACACCAGAAAGCCGATAAAATGGCTCAATATTTGGCAAGACACCACGAGGAAAACAAATAACTAGATGGATAAATAGATGCATAAAAAAGATGTTGCAGGACTGCATACGGTTAACTGAAAAGCAAAATAGCCCCAGAGGCAGAGACAGTCGCCTAGCTAAGGTGAGAAAATACCAAGAAGGTCTGTAAAGTCAACAGAAAACAAAAAATATTGTTTGTCATTTAAAAAAAAATAATTTAAACAATAACAACAGCAATTTATTATATTGTAACGAATTAAAAAAAAATATTTTCTTTATATTTATTTTCCTTTTGAAATATTTTTCTTAGGATGTCAACATCACAAACAAAAATGATTTATTTTAACTGCATAAGAATCTAATACCTGGTACTAATTGTATTGTGTTATAAATTTAAGCAGGTGACTGTGAACGCGCCTTAGAATAGACAACGAGAAGTTCAAGAAACGAAATAGAGGATCTATTCTTAGCCAATCTCTTAAGATGATCAAGGGATCTGAAGGGTATAAAAAGAACAACTATCAATGGTGGAAGTACCAATGGAAGTGAACGGTTGGCTAGGCCTCACGGAAAGAGAAATATACAGCTATTAGAAGAGAGGTCGTCAATAATTTTTATTTTCATTAATACTGCCACGAAGGCCATGATAAAAAAAAAAAAAAAATTAAATGGGCTAAACGTAATCAATCTGCTACTGTAGGACATGATTCACAGGGACTCCTGACTCACGCATGCGCCTACTATAAATTAAATAATTAAACACAGGGACTAAATGGCTTGAAACGACAGCACGGCGGTTGCACTAAATCATAGATAGCCGGCCGAGTTATATAAAGATGGAGAAGAATTTAGGAGTCGGTGCCAGCCAATAAACCTTTGGTATTGTTGGAGAGGGTATTTAAATCGCACAGCAGTATAAACAACTACGCTCAGTATCATCTCTGCGTGAAACACTTATGTTACGGCTACGGCTATATAAATATTACCGTAATACAAAACCTGTCATGTAGTGATATAATGATAGTGCTATAACTCAACACAGTTATCCTACTAGTAAATAACATATAAGTACGAGTAGTATTATAAACAAAGTAGCTGGGCAAGATTCATCTATTCTAAACATATGAAATCATTTTTGACGTTTTCTATATAATCACTCAAGTTTTTTAGAATATATATGATTCAGACCCATCCCTACTTAAGTTTGTTGTATTATAATAATAAATCCTCTGTTGACACGAGCTAATTCGATACATTTTATATATATAATATTAATAATCATTAAAAATTCATTTGACTTATTTTGTTACAATATTCAAGATGAAAAAATAAGTCGTTTTCTTAAGCGTGGACAAATAGTTCTACTAGTAAGCACAGGTCTTATTCTGATTCTAGATTAATGATTCCTGTTAAAAGAAAATAAAGAAACCTTCTTCCATATATGGCTAAATTATATAAGAAAAAAAAATCAATTGTTATATATTTTCAGTCACAAGTTCGACTCGTGGGCCTCGGTAGACCATCCTGGGGTACTTCCAGTATCGAAAAAGTAGGTAATCTTAATCAAA